AAGCTATTTGCCTTCAGGAGTGGAGTCCATAAAGGGGATGGCCCTAGGCCCCTCAAAGAATCTCCAGTGTAGACCTCCAGTGTCCTTTAATGATGAATAATTGGACCAGCCCTGCCCAGGAGGCTTTAATAACCTTTCTCTGTGGTCTGTAAGTTTGAAAAAGCTCAGTACCTACTGTCTTTCTTTAGGACATTGATGGAAGTCCCAGTGCTCCCATTTTATGCTTATTAGTGACACTTTTCATGAGTTTCTAGGGCTAAAGGGACTTTTCTGCGCTGTTAAATGATTTTCAGTTTAACTCCCTTTCCGAGTGGGATGTTGTAAAGATTAATTAGCTAATGTTCATAAAGTGCTTTCAAGCTGAAAAGCACTGCACAAGGGTGTACAGATTCATTAGCTTCTTAGTCATCAAGGTTTTTTTAGACCTTTCGTATTCAGAAACTGGATGATGAAGGCCAAATTAGTATTTTTTCTTGGAGGAGGGGGACTTCAAAGGAAAAGAATAGAACAATATTTCTCTTTCTTTGTTTAAAAAAAAGACATCTGTTGCACTGGGACTGAAAAAAAGACATAAAAATTTTTATTTTTCATTATCTCCTATTTCCATACTGCTTCTGCTTCTTTTCACTTCTTCCTTTCAAAATGCATTTGCCCGATTCTCCTGGATATTTATTTAGAAACTCATTGAATCATATTGTCATGTAGGTGTCCATAGTGGAACTGACTCTGGCTTCAGAGTGTTGAGTTGTTCTACCAATAAATGACACAGGGAAATCATTCCCTTTGTAAATCAAGATCCCCTCCCAGTTTGCAATGTGTCATAAAGGTATAATATTGTCTCCATCCTCAGTAATCTTTGGCCAATATATTTAGAGTTCTATATGATCCAGTTAAGCCTTTGATTGAGGCTGGAAAAGTACAGACTGGCCACCAAAGACAGAAAGAGGTCCTAGGAGAAACAAGAGACAAAGATGGATAACCTACAAAAAATTAGATTGACAGCTGACTATTTTAGCAGCATCAGCTGCACATGATAAGAGAATAATATCTTCTAAGTATGAAGAAAAATAGCTGTCAACCTAGAATTGTATACCAAACTAAATTACCTTTAAAGATTGATCATAGAATAAGAACATTTTTATACAAAACAAAAATAACACATTTACCAGCAATGCTAAAGGATATCCTAAAGGATTCAAAAAGAGAAAAATTATTCCAGGACAGAAGGAAATGCTAGAAGGAATGAAGAGGAAAAAATTGGTAAACATGTGGGTAAATCTAAATAAAGCATGAACTAATAATAATAATGTGCAGTTTGTAGTAACGAACAAGATATAAGTTAAAAAAGTAACATATATAACAAGAAGCTAAAAGTATTCCAGTGTCTTTATCTTATTTGGAAGGAGGCCAAAGATGTTATTTAGATTTTATTAAGTATATACATAGACTTTCTAGTTTTAGTCACTAAAATAAAGGAAATGCAATGTAGTAGAGGGGGAATCAATGGAATGAGACAATAAAATAAATAGCAACTAACTCAGTAAAAAGGGAATAAAGAAATTTAACATGGATCTCAGTAACTGTTCCTGGGGTTCTTACCCTACAATTACAAATACTAAGTAACTATGTCAGGGAGTTCATATCAATACACCTACAGGATAAATGAAAAATGAAATAGTCTTTTTAAAAATTTTTTTAAAGATTTTATTTATCAGAGAGAAAGAGAAAGAAAGAAAAAAAAGAGCAAGAAAAAAGAGCTGGGCAAAGAAAGAGCAGGAAGAAGAGGGTCAGAGAGAGGGACAAGCAGACTGTCTGCCGAGTAGGGAGCCCGATGCGGGGCTCCATCCCAGGACCCTGGGACCATGACCTGAGCCGAAGGCAGACGCTTAACTGACCGAACCACCCAGGCACCCCAAAAATGAAATAGTCTTAATGATATGTGAACAGCTGTTTCTGGCTTGGGATGAAATGTTCGCTAACAGCCTCATCTTGATGACACAGGACATGGGTTATGGGAGAGAAACAACAAATGTAGGGAACACAGATCTTTCATAATGGACAGTAAGCCTGCAAGAGCTCTGCCCCAGAGAGAGATACTCCCTTAATGATACTTCATAGTAAACAAATCTGCTCTTCCCTCTGGAAAAAGACATGGTTTCCCAAGGCTGTTCATTATACAAACACCTTTGAAAGATAGAGCAGTGCCTTTGCTTGTAAGTTGTGCCAAAATGTGAGAGACCCATGGAGAGATAGCTCCCAACAAATTTGGGTAAGTTTCTAAAGCCTCAGTTTTCCCATCCGAAAAATAGTATAAATGGTATGACATATGTGATTACAAGGATCAGAGGGTAGAGCACATATAAAATGCTTAACATCATATCCAAGGACTGTGTCAATATCAATTACTACTACAAATGATTATTTCTTGAATAAAATATGAGCATGTTTATTGAGTTCTTTGTTTTCTCCAGTAAGTAGAATATTACAGCTCATGGATGTTTCTACTTATTAGAATCACCAAATATTAGAACTAAAAAGGAAAGATTAGCCAATGAAACCAGGCATTTTATAGATAAGGAAATGGGTTCAGAAAGGTTAAGTGACTTTTTGGCTTTCACACAGAAAAGCCATACAAAGGACAATGGTCATGTAATTTAAAATTCACATTCTTTTTAATTATACACAATTCTTGGAGCTCAATACATATTGGTATTACAAATGAATTGAAGCAAGCCTAGCTATATTAGAAAACATTTCACATGGGGCGCCTGGGTGGCTCAGGCGTTAAGCATCTGCCTTCAGCTCAGGTCATGATCCCAGGGTCCTGGGATCGAGCCCCGCATCTGGCTCCTTGCTCGGCGGGGAGCCTGCTTCTCCCTCTATCCCTCCCCCCTGCTTGTGTTCCCTCTCTCGCTGTGTCTCTCTCTGTCAAATAAATAAATAAAATCTTAAAGAAAAAAAACATTTCATATATTCATTTGGTCATTCTCTTCTACCTACTTGCATAACCTACAAACCATATTAAACATGGCCTCTGAAGGCAAATAAATACAGGAAGGAAGGAAGGGAGGGAGGAAGAGAAGAGGAAAGAAAGGAAGGAAAAGGAGGAGAGTAAAAGAACCCGGATCTCCTCCTCCCCCCCACCTCCACCATCGTCACTGCCTCCACAGCAGAGAAAAAACAGGAACCAAAAGTGCTTTCTGTGTGTGTAGGTAATGTTGAAAGTGGTCCCATTCTGGCTAACGACAGGGAAATTCTGGCAGAATATTTGGCAGCTTTATGTCAACAGCTTTATCCGGGCTTATCAACAAACTTCCTAAGGCATGAGGGGGAGGATCGAGGAAAGAGAATGAGGGGGTGACAGAAATAGCATCTCGTTCTAGGAGACAGCATGTTGTAAGGAATGATCATCAGTTGTAGAAGAAGATGACCTGAGTTCCTGTGTGAGTTTGAGCAAGTTACTGAATTTCCTGATCTCTAAAATGTACTTAAAGTCTCTCCGGGAGAAGTTGATGTGCTATTCAAATGACGAAATGAAGTGAGCGTGTCTGGCACCTAGTAGGTCCTCATTAAATAGAAGTTCAAATTCAGTGAAGGAATTTATCCTGGAAAGATGTGTAAAAAATCAACCCATTGGTTTTGTACTCTACCTACTCCCAATCCTGCCGTTTGTCTTTCTTCCAAGAGTGGTGTCGCCATATTAGCTTGTACAGCATTGTGCTACACTTCCTGGGACCCGAGGTCAGAGTTGAGTGTGCCCAGGTAGCCAAAGCAAGGTTTTAATAGGAAAGAAATGATAGGGAATGTGGGTTGTCCTTTATCTTTTGTCTTTCTCAAGCCCTCTGTAAAATCACCTTCCACTCTAGGTAATTGTGTTCTGCGTGTCCCACGGGCGTCTCCCGCAGCTCCTGCTATTCTCATCCCTCACCCATGGTGAACACTGCACTTCTGCCTTCTGCGCATGCAGGAGCGGCTCTGTTTTGCCACTGCTCTGTACCTCTTCACAGGACACTGCAGTGTGTGTGGGGGGGGTGTGTGAGAGAGAGAGAGACAGAGACAGAGACAGAGATAGGAGAGGAGACAGAGGAAAGGAGGAAGACAATGGAGCAAAACATGCCCTTTTCCTTAAAGAAATCCCAAAGCAATCTTGCTCATCACAATGTTCTATGTTGCGAAGAGTCTAGGGAAATCATTCCTTTGGTTTTTACTTGGGGCTTTCTCTCTCTCTTTGGAATCAGAGATGCCAGAGATGAATCTGAGCGAGAGTGTCAGGAAGTATTGAAAATAAGTGATGATGAAATGATGAGAAAGTCTTTGTTAGGATCGAGCCCACCACACCGAGCTGTTTCTTCCCATAGGAGAAGTGTGCTCTCTGAAAGGATCCCCAGCCTTTCCTCAAACAGGCTTCTGTAGGATCATCCTGCACATTTGCATTCACATCCAGTTCTGTCAACAGAACGGTGGGCACAATTTGAGCTCTTTTGCACGAGGCTATTAGGCCCTGTGGCCCCTAAGTTCCTACTGGGCCAATCTACCAGGCATACTGAAATTTGTAGCTGGCTGTGTGCTAGGGTCAAGCTGAGAACCCTGGTACAGATACACGTGTACAAGGAAATTGACTCATAGCCTGCCACCATCCAAATGTGAATGTGGACACTTGCCTTACATTTTAGATATATGAGTTGATTCATTTATTCCTTTTTCATTGATCAAAGAAGGGATACACAGATGATTTAGGTACAGTTCCTATATCATAGTCATCATTGTCTGTTGCTTCACTATATGTGCTCAGAGATGTGACTGTCCCTAGTTAAAGCTTAATTGAGACCATCTTAGAGTCAACTCTGAAAAATATCCCTTCTGAAGTTAAGATACTCATATCAATAATTCCATACTCGATTTCTGTGTTAAAAAGAAAGTATTATGATCAGGCCAATGCAAGGAATATAGCATTTGGTGCAGTAAGGTTTTAATGTTCTTAACACTCTCTCTGCCCCCAGGTTATGCAGATGTATCTTCCATTTTGTGGAATTGCCATATCTAATGCTCAACTCTTTGCTGCCTCAAGGAAAGAATATGAAAGAAGCAGGGTGAGTAGAAAGAAATGCTGTTCACAACCCTCCAAGCTCTCTGACTTTCAAGGGTCTGTGAGTCATCATGTCTTTTAAAAAACAAGCAGATGATGTTTGAGTAGTACAGGAATCCTTCTTATTTGTTTAATCTTTCAAGTTTATGGTTGAAGATATCTTTGAAGCAATAAGTACAAATGGAAGTGGATACAAATTCTCTGTTGTTTGGGGCAAAGAGTACCAGCTTCTTTTGAAAATGAAATTAAGGGCACCTGGGTGGCTCAGATGGTTGAGCGTCTGCCTTCGGCTCAGGTCATGGTCCCAGGGTCCTGGGATCGAGTCCCGCGTCGGGCTCCCTGCTCCTTGGGAGCCTGCTTCTCCCTCTGCCTCTCTCTCTCTCTCTGTCTTTCATGAATAAATAAATAAAATCTTTAAAAAAATAAATAAAAATGAAATTGATTTCACATCTGTACTCTAAGGTAGTAGATATACTCTTACTTATAGCTTTGAAACAATAACACACTTTAGCTATATTTTTACAATTTAGTTCCTTTAAGAAGCAAGGTATGTTACAAATGATTTCACCCCACCTCATAGATTTTACTTTTGAATTGAAAGTTTTTCTGGAAGAGCATCACAAGAGAACTGGACAATAATGCAAACACTTCTATAGGATTATAAAGAAACACATACAAAGAGGGACTTTCACCTATCCAGATAAATAGGAAAGAGAGAAAGAGGAAAGAAAGAGAGAGAGAGAGAGAGAGAGAG